CCGGCGTCCTACGCCGTCCTCGCGGAGTGCGTCCACCGCTACTTCCTGCACAATCCACTGAGGTCCGGGGGCAAGAACAGCGAGCCCGTGCGGCCTAGCAGGATGCGCTTCTTCCGCACGCTCCCTAGGTTCCGCGCGTACATGGCCGTCAAGTTCAGGCTTCCCCTCGAGATCCTTCGCCTGCTGAACATTGCCCTGTGCGGCGCTTTCTCCCGGCGCTACGACGAGCTCAGCCGGAAGTACAGATACGTCATGCATATTGCAGAGCTGTACGCGCCATACTCCTTGTTCAGAGGATGGTAAGGAATCAGCCGACCAAAGGCTTCTTCTTCTTTTCATTTTTTTTGCATTTTCGGATGCATGGCCGGCAGCTCACCGTTGTTCTTTGGGTTTGGTCGAAAGCTTCGATGACTCCAACACGGAGAGGCTGAGGGCGGCGATGGCGAGCAACGACGGGCAAGACAAAAGGAGCAGGGGATATGAGGACTTTGGTTTCGATCCCAAGTGCATAGATTGGGACGACTACTTCTACAGGGTTCACATCCCCGGTGTTGTCAAGTACCTGTGTGATTAGTAGAGAGAGAGCTAAATGTATCTCGTGTGTTTTACTACATACACAAGTACGTCGGTGTGTGTTGTTTGTTGTGCTGCAAATGTTAGCATTATTCTTGTTCAGTCATTATCAAAAAAAGCATTCTTGTTCAGTGGCTATAAGGAAAGCAAGTCATTAGATTTCTTAGTTTGCTAAATTCTTTCTGAGAACGATGGTACAGGTTTTCCTTTGGTCTTATGCCACCGAAAGGTGTCTTACTTATGTTAGGAGCTTGGTTGCAATGGGTGAACAAAGAAAAAACCTCATGTACCAACTTTTGATTGAGGCAAGGACTCGGGTACACTTACACTTACATAAGCTAGAATTCTTTAAGCCACAAAAAAAACTCATACTCTAATAATAGCACATGCCAAATTCATGTTTTAAAAACTAGCTATTTTCACCACGCCCAGGGACATAGCGTGACAAATACGTGCAATCATGCCATGTGAGTTGACCACTACTATATATAGAAAATAGGCAACCGGTGCCGTCTATATCACCAGCGTATTTAGAACCGCCACTGATAAAGCATCTCACTGTTGAATCTATAGAAAAAGTATTTCCACTGTCGGGTTATCAAAATAACTGGCAGTACAAGTTATAATTTGATTGCAGATTTGTATTACTGACTGACAGGGCTATCTAGAACCAAATTTTTAATTAATTGAATATGTTAACCCCGGGTGCTCCCGTCCACTCCTGCCTTTCTCATATATGACGTTGACCACTAACCTCTCTCTTTTCTCTCTGATCTTTTCCCGTACCTCTCCTTCTCATCCTTCTCCTCTATAGAACCAACATGGATGCACCTCTCTTACTCTTCTATCAGACCTCTTCCTCTCCCTTCTCTCTTCCTCTCCTAGAGATGATGCGGTGCAGGGCAGAGGCAGACCATGCGTGAGTGTGTTCGTGTGCGTGCGTGTGTGTTGATGGCACTATGTACTTAAAATATTAATTTTAGTTTTGGAGGGAAAATGAATTACAGAGGCAGCTAGAAATAGAGCTATCTCTACAAAAGTGTTTCTAGATGTGGCTAAAGTTTTTAGCCGCCTTTGCTAAAAGTCCTTTCAGAAGTGGCTGGTAACAAAAGATGCATCTAGAAATCTATTTGTAGAGGCGGATTATGTTTTCAACTCCTTGAGTTTGGATGACATAGCATCATTTGATTCTCTAATCTCAACGCTAGCCATTTCCGCTATGTCACATTTAGCTAAAAGAGAGTCATTCTTAATTTCTAGCTTTTTATTCTTAGCTCTTGACTTTCTAATGATCTTAGTATATTGATTTAGCAATTTAACATGATCATCATAAGAAGGTGATTCATATTTATCATCGTCACTATCACTATCATCATTGCTAGCATGATCATCACTACTACTATCATCATCATCATTTGATACCTTTCGTTCACCCTTGGCCATAAGGTATAGGTGTGTAGACGATGATGGCGGTGGTGTCGGTGAAGATGATGAAGAGTCAATCACAATGGCTGCCACCTTCTCATTCTCACTATCATCATCGGATGAGCAACTAGATGAATCAATGTCCGTGAGCCAATCACCGACGATGTATGTCTTGCCACTTTTCTTCTTCTTGTGGAAATCTTTTTTCTTGTCATCTTTCTTCTTGTATGGCTTGTTTTTCTTTTTCTCATCTTTATCTTCATTACTTGAGTCATCTTTCTTGCCCTTGTACTTATTCTTGTACTTGTCTTTTTTGGGCTTGGTGCATTGATGTGCTAGATGACCAAGTTCTGCACAATTGTAGCAATCAATCTTAGAGATTGGCTTTCTTCTTGTGTTAGTGAAGAACTTCTTTTTCTTGCCATCAAACTTGATGATATTCTTGTTGAGCTTCTTTAGCATCTTGGTGGTTCTTCTCACCATGAGAGCAAGACTTGCATCATCAACTTCATCATCACTTGAGCTCTCATACTCAATTCTTGCTTTGCCCTTCTCTTGGCTAGCTTTGAATGCTAAGTCCTTATCTTTCTTCTTGGTAGAGGATGAGCCATCTTGTGGTGTGATGTACATGTATATTTCATGAGCGTTGATCTTTCCCAAGATTTGAGTCGGTGTAGCGGTGGAAAGATCACCTTGATGAAGCACGGTCACAATATGCCCATATTTATCAATGGGGAGGACACTCAAGATTTTTCTTACAACATCAGATGGTTGCATTTGAGTGAGTCCAAGCCCATTGACTTCCTCTATAAGAACATTCAAGCGTGAGTACATTTTATTAGCACTTTCTTTAGGAAGCATCTCAAAAAAATTAAGCTTTTTCATTACGAGATGATAGTGTTCCTCACGTTCGCTCTTAGTTCCCTCATGGAGCGCACAAATGTCCGGCCATAGTGCATGGGCGTCCTTATGGTTCCTCACCCGGTTAAACACATATTTGTAAAGGCCTCTAAAGATGATGTTTTTAGCATTTGCATTCCATTTTTCGTAATTGACCTCATCGCCTTGAAGGTGCGTGGCATCCCGAGATTTTGGGAATCCTTGTGAGGCGGCTCTAAGTATTCGAACATCTAGAGCTTCTAAATACGCCTCCATACGGATTTTCCAATAAGGAAAATCATCCCCCTCAAAGATAGGAGGAGGATCATCCCCGTGAGACATCTTTCTCTAGGCGGTTAAGCCTAAATACGTGAGCATGAGGCTCCGATACCAATTAAAAGGATCAACATGCCCAAGAGGAGGGGTGAATTGGGCTAATTCTAAAATTCTTAGCAATAATTAAACCCTACACTTAGCCCACTTCACCCCTTATGCATAGAAAGTGTTTTATAATGTTCTACCGCACAAAAGTTTAGCACCCTAAGTTCCAATCCTACTCTAGCATGGCAATTCTATGAATGTAAAGACAAGAATTGAATTGCTCAAATGTAAATGCTCAAAGTAAAGAGAGGAGAAGGAATGCGGCGATGTTTTGCCGAGGTATCGGAGAGTCGTCACTCCCCACTAGTCCTCGTTGGAGCACCCGCGCAAGGGTGTAACTCCCTCTTGATCCGCGCAAGGATTAAGTGCTCTCTACGGGTTGATTCTTCGGCACTCCGTCGCGGTGAATCACCCACAACCGCTCACAACTTGAGTTGGGTCATCCACAAAGCTCCGCCGGATGATCACCAAACTCCCAATCACCACCAAGCTATCTAGGTGATGGCGATCACCAAGAGTAACAAGCATAAACTCTCACTTGACCACGACAAGCTTAATGAGAAGGTGGATGCACACTTTGCTACTCTTATTTTCACTAATGAGGCCTCTCTCTTGGATTCTCAAATCTCGATCACGTCACTAGGACCTTGCTCTTCTTGGCACTCTCAAGGGTGTTTCTCAGCTGTTGGAATGATCAAAAGTGATCACTTGAGTGAATAGAGGAAGTATTTATAACCTTTCATTCAAAACGAAACCGTTATGTGCCTCTGCGGAGTGACCAGACGCTCCGGTCAAGGTGACCAAACGATCCAGTCAGTTCACCCGCCACTGAGCCGTTTAAGTTGTGACCGGATACTGACCAGCGTCCGGTCAGCACTGACCGGACGCGTCTGGTCATGAAAACCGCTCTCTGGAACCTTACTGGAGTTGATCGGACTCTGGCGTCCAGCGTCCGGTCACTCACCTCTCAGCGTTCGGTCGCACCAGACGACTTCACCTTGATCAAATGAACTGACTGAATTCTGCCCCAGCGTCCGGTCACACCGGAACCAGCGTCCGGTCAACATTTGACCCTCCATTCACTTCTAACTCGCAATCATATGTGAATGAAGTTTGCTACAATTGATCTTAGGGCTATTTTGGAGCTACAAGTGCTAGATTTGACAAGTGTGCACCATACTTAACCCACTAAACTCACCTAGGTCAAGCTACCCGTTCATACCCCCTTGATAGTACGGCCAAAGGAAAAACAAAGTCCTAAACTACTTTAAGTGTCTCTTCAACACTAAACGACACTTAGAACTAGTCCATGCTTAACCTTGTCGTCCATCCTTTGAAAACCGAAACGATTTCCATCGTAGGGGCATGACAACCATGATTGCCCAATCAATTGCCATTACCATGACCTAATTTAATTGCCTCTGCAAACCACACGTTAGTCATAGTAATGACGTATTGTCTTTAATCACTGAAACTCAACTAGGAGCATAGATGCTTTCAAAAGCTCACCAACACGGACGACGCTTTGCTTTGTCCATAATCAGTTAGCTCCTCTATTTGTTTACTGCAGCAACCATCCTGCAGGGTCCTGCTGCCCGGCCACAGAAACACATCTATCTTCCTGCCTATAAATACATGGTCTGTTTCTCTGTAGGATCCCAAAGCTAACATCCCAGAGCATAATACATCTCATCAGAAACTCTTAGACCGACACGGACCACATACTGCTTGCACATTCAAAGATGATAGGTGAACTGGATTCAGATGTTGTTGTACGCTACTTCAGAGGCAAGAGCATCCTGATCACCGGTTCAACTGGCTTCCTGGGGAAAGGTACGGTACCTCTTCATGCATGCATGAACTCGTCCACAGCTAGTACTCTTTCAGGGTGTCTGCACAATGCATGGCTGGCTGATCATCTCAGGGGGTGCTTGTTTTCTGCATTTTCGTCTCTTCGTAGTGCTTGTGGAGAAGATACTGAGGGTTCAGCCGGATGTCAAGAAGCTCTTCCTGCTCATTCGAGCCACCGATGCCGAGTCTGCGAAGCAGCGGGTCAAGACTGAGGTGAAAACAAAATATTTCTCTATTCTTCCTTCCACATCTTATTTTCTGAAGTTGTATCCAATGGCCCAGTCTGAACTTTTTCCGTCACATGCAAATATTTTTCTGGAAACCATTTCTCCATACAAGGACAGATGAATCATTTTTTTCCTCAAGGGTCGGCAAGAGCTTTGCCGAAATATATTAGTAGGAGAAAGAAAAATTATACAGAAAAGTTACTTACCCGAAGGAAAAAAACCAACAACAGACCACTGTCATGGAAAAAACTTGCTCCGACAACAGAGGAAAATCGTGTATGAATCTTTTAAGTATGCAAATTTGATGTCCTCTATCTTTACCTTTACTTGTAATGAGCAACTGTGCTCGTGCATATCTTGTATTATAAAGAGCAACTCATGCAAGATGCATGCACCACCCAAAATCCCAAATCTTGCTCACGCAATATTAGTAAAGGAAACAAGAGCACTATACAAATTTGTTCTTATATCTGAAGATCAAACTATTTGTTTTGCAGCTATGTCTAACCATCCATTACCCTTATCACCCACTCAGCAAAATATGCCCTCCAATCCGACTTCAATATAATATGTCCTGTTGTACAGCAGAAGTACGTAACTGTGTGGCTATACTGTGCAGTAACCATCAACAACACGATGACAAGAACAATACTCAAATATGTTTTTTCCTTGAAAACATCTGTGACCAAAGCAGAATAGATCCCTTTAATAGAAGAAGACAGTGATGGGTCGGTAGAGGTGGCAGTTGCGGCAAAAGCTTTTGAGAAATGAATAGTAGCATAGTACAGATATGGAAGTAAGAGACATAGTGACCCGTTGCAATAGCTGATGGGGACCAAGTTCTGAAAGCGCAACTCTGCAGGTTTGCTGAGTCAGAATGTCTCCTGATGAATTTGCTAGCTGCATTCAGTCTGAAATATATTTTCTTCTGACCAAAATTAGTGGCCAATGCATAGGTCAGCCTATTCGCTAGTTGGTTTCTGGGCTGATAAGACCGGCTGGTGCTGATTTGTTGTGAGAGAAAAACACTGTTGGCTGGCTAATAAGCCATGGCTGAAACCAACAAGCAAACATGCTAATGTTTGAAGCAAGAAGTACTATATACCGAATAACTGTTGCCACTAATAATATCAGTCTTATGGTAATCTTTCTATGCAGACTCTGTTTTTTTAACGAAATATGCAAACTCTGTTTCGTTATCGCTAGGTGACAGGAAGGGAGATCTTTAAAATTTTGAAAGAAAAGCATGGCAATGGGTTTGAAGGTTTCATCCAAGAAAAAATATGCCCTTTGCCAGGAGACGTCATTTATGAGAACTTGGGCCTAGCCCCCGCCAAACTGAGAGAACTATGGAAAGAAATAGACATCGTTGTCAATGGAGCTGCAACTACAAATTTCTACGAAAGGTCTGAGCTTATTTCTGTTAACAAATTATTTCCGATGGCATGAATATTGTGGAAATATTTGTTCAATTATCTGGCCAAACTGCAGGTATGATGTGGCTTTCGACACAAACGTCATGGGAGCCAAGCACATCTGTGAGTTTGCAAAGAGGTGCAGTAAACTCAAGATGCTGCTACACGTTTCAACAGGTAGGAAAGCAACAGTCCTGTGTTCCTTTGTGGCCAAATTTGGAACCATCCATTTTCTTCAATTAAGGGGTACAATATAAGTACAACTAAAAAAACTATCAGCAATCTGAATCCATATATATAATGATGACACTTTCATGAGCAGCTTATGTAGCCGGTGAACAAGAAGGGATAGTGCTAGAGAAGCCATTCCATTTGGGTGAAACCCTGACGGAAGGCACACAGCTGGACATCGAATCCGAACTGAATCTGATAAAAGAGACCAGGAGAGAACTGAAAGCCAACCGTTCTTCGGAAAAGGCTGATAGAAGAATCATGAAGGAGCTTGGCCTCAACAGGTGAGTGAGAACTAGAGAACTCCTTACTACAAAAGTACATTTGCCCTGTTAATTATGTATCTTTACTACTACCTACTAATACTTTTCAAATAATCACAAGCACATGACATGTCTCTGTCAATGATGAAGGGCAAGGGCGTTCGGGTGGCCAAACACCTATGTGTTCACCAAAGCAATGGGGGAGATGCTGCTGGGGCACCTTCGAGGAGATCTCCCGGTCGTCATCGTCCGGCCTAGCATCATAACCAGCATCCTGAACGAGCCGTTGCCTGGATGGATGGAAGGGATAAGGTAGGTGACCAAAAGGACAAGAAATAATTCACAAGATGTGCAGACATGTGTCAGGTACTGCCTGTCATGTGGGCCCAAGCCAGGCTAGCACATGGGGCTCCAGCTACATAAAGGGGATCAGGAGGCCAAAGCAAGGCATCAACCAAATCATCAGAAATCATATTACCTTCCCTAGTTTATTACGAGTACTTTACTGTTCTTCTTCCCCAACTCTCCCTATCTCTCTTGTACCCGGACTCCTATCTCCAGTTCCTTCTAGAGCCTTCTAGATACTGTTGGTGTGAGATTTAGTTGCCCAGGATTGGGGTTCCTAACAACATGCTTCCAATAATTCTCCATTGATTTCTTCATGGCAGCAAGCAATGCAGTCAGCAGTATATATGCACAGTGAATGAAAAACAAAAGCCTGGTTGCCTTCAATTTTGCAGGACAATTGACTCGTTCATCATCGGCTACGCCAAGCAGGCTCTGTCAATCTTCTTAGTTGATCTCGACTTGATAATGGACGTGGTGAGTTTCCGATCGAACGCAGCATCAAATTTAGAGAAATGTATGTATGTACTGTATCGATCAAGCAGCAAACCAACAAGGACGCACGTATTCTGATTTCTGACAGATTCCTGGGGACATGGTGGTGAACGGCATGATGGTGGCAATGGCGGCGCACTCGGAGGAGCAGGGACAGCAGCAGAGCATCTACCACCTGACGTCGTCGGTGCGGCACCCAGCGTCCTACGCCGTCCTCGCGGAGTGCGTCCACCGCTACTTCCTGCACAATCCACTGAGGTCCGGGGCAAGAACAGCGAGCCCGTGCGGCCTAGCAGGATGCGCTTCTTCCGCACGCTCCCTAGGTTCCGCGCGTACATGGCCGTCAAGTTCAGGCTTCCCCTCGAGATCCTTCGCCTGCTGAACATTGCCCTGTGCGGCGCTTTCTCCCGGCGCTACGACGAGCTCAGCCGGAAGTACAGATACGTCATGCATATTGCAGAGCTGTACGCGCCATACTCCTTGTTCAGAGGATGGTAAGGAATCAGCCGACCAAAGGCTTCTTCTTCTTTTCATTTTTTTTGCATTTTCGGATGCATGGCCGGCAGCTCACCGTTGTTCTTTGGGTTTGGTCGAAAGCTTCGATGACTCCAACACGGAGAGGCTGAGGGCGGCGATAGCGAGCAACGACGGGCAAGACAAAAGGAGCAGGGGATATGAGGACTTTGGTTTCGATCCCAAGTGCATAGATTGGGACGACTACTTCTACAGGGTTCACATCCCCGGTGTTGTCAAGTACCTGTGTGATTAGTAGAGAGAGAGCTAAATGTATCTCGTGTGTTTTACTACATACACAAGTACGTCGGTGTGTGTTGTTTGTTGTGCTGCAAATGTTAGCATTATTCTTGTTCAGTCATTACCAAAAAAAGCATTCTTGTTCAGTGGCTATAAGGAAAGCAAGTCATTAGATTTCTTAGTTTGCTAAATTCTTTCTGAGAACGATGGTACAGGTTTTCCTTTGGTCTTATGCCACCGAAAGGTGTCTTACTTATGTTAGGAGCTTGGTTGCAATGGGTGAACAAAGAAAAAACCTCATGTACCAACTTTTGATTGAGGCAAGGACTCGGGTACACTTACACTTACATAAGCTAGAATTCTTTAAGCCACAAAAAAAACTCATACTCTAATAAAAGCACATGCCAAATTCATGTTTTAAAAACTAGCTATTTTCACCACGCCAAGGGACATAGCGTGACAAATACGTGCAATCATGCCATGTGAGTTGACCACTACTATATATAGAAAATAGGCAACCGGTGCCGTCTATATCACCAGCGTATTTAGAACCGCCACTGATAAAGCATCTCACTGTTGAATCTATAGAAAAAGTATTTCCACTGTCGGGTTATCAAAATAACTGGCAGTACAAGTTATAATTTGATTGCAGATTTGTATTACTGACTGACAGGGCTATCTAGAACCAAATTTTTAATTAATTGAATATGTTAACCCCGGGTGCTCCCGTCCACTCCTCCCTTTCTCATATATATATGACGTTGACCACTAACCTCTCTCTCTTTTCTCTCTGATCTTTTCCCCTCCCTCTCCTTCTCATCCTTCTCCTCTCTAGAACCAACATGGATGCATCTCTCTTACTCTTCTATCAGACCTCTTCCTCTCCCTTCTCTCTTCCTCTCCTAGAGATGATGCGGTGCAGGGCAGAGGCAGACCATGCGTGAGTGTGTTCGTGTGCGTGCGTGTGTGTTGATGGCACTATGTACTTAAAATATTAATTTTAGTTTTGGAGGGAAAATGAATTACAGAGGCAGCTAGAAATAGAGCTATCTCTACAAAAGTGTTTCTAGATGTGGCTAAAGTTTTCAGCCGCCTTTGCTAAAAGTCCTTTCAGAAGTGGCTGGTAACAAAAGATGCATCTAGAAATCTATTTGTAGAGGCGGATTATGTTTTCAACTCCCTCTACAAATTGATTTCTTGCGCGGGGGATTGGATTGGTGTCATTACAATTTTCATGAATTAAAAAAACGCCATTAATATTCACCTATTTCTAAACCGTGTCATCAATTCTACATATTATACCTAAAATCTGCCACTTTGTACGCTTTGGATGCCTTTGGGCCCATTTGTAGTGTACCTTATTTTCGTATCAACCAAAATAACCCTCTATGCTCCTCTCTGTTTATGTCACGACGTTTGGACCCCACGACTCATCTCCTTTCTCCTTCCTTCCCCATCTTCTTCCTCACTACAGGCAGCATGGCCTTGTTCCACATGCGTCGCGGCTGGCCCCACCAACATTTGTTCGGCCAAGAGCTCATCAATGGCCAGGTGCTCCCTTTTATCCACACGGCTGCATGGTGCCCTTGCAGAGGTCGTGCCTGTCAGGGACCTCGTGGGCTGGACCGGCTAATGGGCTGCAGCGCTGGAATTGTCTTGCCCCAACCATAGGAGATACAACGACCTACATATACACAAGCAAGGGAAACACAGAAGGTGTCGAAGGACCAGATCAGAACCCAACGGCGAGCTCTGCTCGAGGCTAGCTACGACTAGAGTTCCTATCCTTTTTCTCTCTTCTTCTTCCTCCTAACTACTAGTTCATGTACCCAGAATATTCCAGTGTCTTATAGATAGTCGAATCGTGTTACTGTGTTGTTCTTTGGGTTGGATTTGGTTGAGGACGGTGACAATTGGTATCGGAGCCATGTCCACTTTACCCACCACCGCGTCGGAGTTCGTGGCCACCATGAAGACGGAGGAGATGCTGGGCAAGATTCTGGTGAGGTTGGAAGAGATGAATACTCAGCTGCGCAGCCTCGCTGAGCCATCGCCTCCCTCGACCTCCATCCTCACCGCCGACACCAAGGAATGAGAGGCAGTGACGATCTCCTCGACGCTCGTCCCTTCTCCGTCCTCGGCACCACTGCAGGACGCAGATCCCGGCTTTCAGTCAGGCGTCACCGAGCTCTCCCACATCCACCGCACGCTCCCTGAACCGCCCGTCACCACCAACGACTCGGCGGAGCAGGCGTCCGCGACCGCGTGTGGGATCCCCGTCGCCTATGGTGCCGGCAGGCTGGAGAATCACGCCTCGCTCCAGGACGACATCACCACCGGCACCGGCTACAACTCCGCCCACGGTGGCTCCGTCCTGTCGTACCTCGTGCCCATCCACGAGGCCACCAGGGCCCCTGCGCCCGTCGCGCTCTCCAACCCGCGCGAGAAGATCCATGGCGCCCTGGATGGGAGTGTCGTAGGTGCCTAGCCACACGTGCGTCTTCCTCTAGGAGTCGTGGATCTCCGCCGTGTACTAGCCCCACGGCTGCTTCCGGATGCCGCGGTAGTGTGCCTTCACTCGCTGCTGATCCCCTCCCTCGATAGCAATGCCTCCGATAGTGGGGTCGCCTCCTCTTGGCCCACCGTCCCCGAGAAGATCCACCTCCAGCTCGTTAGCAAGATGGAGCTATTCTGCAACATGTGCCTCTTCCGTTTCTCCCTACCGTCATTTGATCAGGTGCTTGGGCTCCCCACCGGCAAGCCCATCTTCGTCTGCGCCAACCCCACCACCAGCAACCTGGTGATGGCCGCCTTGGCCTCGCCCACCTCTTCCCCAACCTCCGCTCCTAGCCAAGACATGGCTCTCGACTTCCAGTTTGGCGTACCCGAGCTCCTCATCGCCTCGCCCACCAGGTGTTCGACACTAAGCCTGTACCGGTATGCTTGTATTCCAGTGTCCATAGCACCGTCAGCGCCATCAACAGCTTTCCCTGCCTCTACACTGCCCCAAGAGGACAATACCGACATCGGGAATGGGCGAGGATGTATGCAACCAAAACCTCCATGGCTGCTAGGCACAGGGTTGTTTCGTTCATGGTATGGGAAAATGCATTTGATCAGTGGGTTCCTGCTTGTTGAGGTATCACCTTGGTGCAGAGATTGCATGAAGTGGGTGCAGTGGCAACCATCTATGATGCCGCCGGTGCAACTACAGAAGGCATCCAGAGGAAAGCCAATAGCACTGCATTTTATCTGTAGAAATGGTGGCAAGTTTCTATTACAACCATGGCCACCACCTGATCCATTTCTAGCGTTGGGTGATCTGTTCAATCTGCGTGGAAATCAGTTGGTTGTTGAGTGTGGTGGCCTACAACCAAAGCCTCTATGGTCATTAGTTTTTCCAGAAGATGACAGTACCAATTATGATCCATCCAAGCACGTGTGGTTACTGCTACTGGATAGTGGGAAAATTCAGACGCTCTTATTGTCCAGTATTCAAGTCAAGATGCACAGTTTAGTTCATGAGATGATTGTAATCAACATGAACCTGCAGCTAGTTTGGCATTTAAGTGCGACAAAACAATATATCTCGTGTGATACTCAGCAGTTGTTTGAGGTATTGTCTGAGTTCTTGTTTTTTCCATCTGCCACTCGGGGTGCTATTTGGGTCTTGCATCATGTTGCTGAGTTAAGGCCAATGCTGTGGCTGCCTTCCAGCCGAAGAAGATGGGGTGAGTTGATGAAATCTTCATGGCCATCTTTAACTCAAGATGAATGTAAGAGCGATGTCATCGATAATTGGTCAGTTCATTGGCTGTCACTTGAGTGCAGTAATGGTATTGGATTGTTGGTGCCATAACCTTGTCCACCACCATGTGTTATCCTCTGTTGGATGATATGCAGAATTCTTGATCAGTGCAGATGGAATTATTGCCACCTTTCTGTGACTAGTTCTGCTGGTGCCTCATCACCTGCTATGCAAACTAATGTTGCAAACATAAATTGGTTGGGTGGCAAACAAGCTTCCAGAGTTGACTCGCCGTCACAAATTGCTGCACATGCCTATCATCCTTCCCACAATTTTGACGCTGCTGGAACTGCTATGAATTTTGCACCCTCTTGTAGACCATGGAAATGTGGATACTTACTTCGCCCATTGGCAACATTTAAGCTTTCAACTTGGGCCTCTGAACTGAAGGTTGCTGATTCATTGGCCTATGCTCAGAGAGGTTGGGTGAATGTTGACTTGGACAAAATTGAGTGGGAGTCATGTTGTGCATATCTAATCTTCAAAGCATTGACATCCTGGTTCCCTATTGAAGTTGCAAATGCTGGAGAATCCTTTGCCGAGCAGCTTGATGCAGCACGCCAGAATAATTGTCCCTGGAGAGGCAATGACTATGCTGATAGCTTGGTCCAATTTCATCTCACACAATCAGTTCTACAGGATCAACAATATTGTCGGTATGTTGTTCAGTTGCCTGTAGGGTATATATTGACTTGGGAAATGCTAAAAATTCAGAAAAAGTGTGACACTGATGCAAGAGCTCCTAGTTGGACCTGGTTGAACCAAGATCAAATCAATGCTTCAGGGAATACCGCTAAACAGTTGCAGCTGTATACAATTCCTGAACATGCTTTCCCCTCGGATTTTATCAGCACCACAGTGACACTGAAAGAAACTAAGCACAAGATTACACTCATCATTGAGGACAGCAAAGTGCTGTGGGATCTGGTAATCAGCATTGAGAATAGGAAGTGGTGCAGGTTGCTATGTTCTTCACCAAGAGTGAAAGAAAGACTGATGATACTACAGCTATTTGTACTCAGTGGCACACCATGCAGCATGCTACATGTGGTTTCAGCATCACAAAGCCCAGTGCCTTGGGATCCCGGCATCTCTAAAGTTCTTCAAATCTCCAACATTGCAACGCACGGCTTGGGGGCAAGCCGTGTTTTAAGGAGGGAAGTATGTTAGGGACCTCGTGGGCTGGACCGGCTAATGGGCTGCAGCGCTGGAATTGTCTTGCCCCAACCATAGGAGATACAACGACCTACATATACACAAGCAAGGGAAACACAGAAGGTGTCGAAGGACCAGACCAGAACCCGACGGCGAGCTCTGCTCGAGGCTAGCTATGGCTAGAGTTCCTACCCTTTTCCTCTCTTCTTCTTCCTCCTAACTACTGGTTCATGTACCCAGAACATTCCAATGTCTTCTAGATAGTCGAATTGTGTTACTGTGTTGTTCTTTGTGTTGGATTTGGTTGAGGACGGTGACAGTGCCTTGCTGTCGAGTCGACATGCACGGGACCTCCTTGGCCTACACCCCTATGCCGTTGTCACTCGCTCACGTGCTGCCAGCCCACCATGTCGCGCCATGCAGAGGCCGCCTTGATGCCATGTGGAAGGATGGAGGTCATAGCGGGAGGCTGCCCCTCTTCTCGCCAATGATGGTTGGAGGCACGTCCAGGCGGATGTTGCTGGCGGCAGTGTGTCCAAGCGGAGGGAGTGGCAAGCAGCAGGAGCTCACTATCAGCCATGCATTTGGGTTGCGGTGTGTCCGGGCGACAGGAGGCTCATGGGCTGCAGCATGTCCGAGAGGTGGGAGCAAGCGGTGGCACGTCCTCGACCAGCGGGAGGCACGGGCACAAGAGGCAAGGCGGCCGGTGGCTGGGGATGGGGGAGGGAGAGGAAGGCAGCGGCTATAGAGAGGAGATTGAAGGAGGAAGGAAGGGAGGAAGAAGACTAAGGGGTATTTTTATCCATACAAATTTGTGAGGCTCTATAGTTGGGGCCAATATCATGGAAGGCGTACAAAGTGATAGATTTCAGGTATCCGTAGAATTATAATGGCACGTTTCAAAATAGATGAATAATAATAGTGTTTTTCCGATCCACGAAAATTGTAATGGTGTCGATCTCAATATAACCCTTTCTTTGGGCGGCTCACCTGCCGCCTCTACAAATCCTTTTTATTTCTAAAAAAACATTGAGATCGAGGCGACTGATCCAGCCGTCCCTATAGAGACTTACCAGTCACCTCTAAAAATCATTATAGTAGCAGTGAGTGGGCTACTAAATTACCATCAACTAACCCTTTTTACTATCTTTTCGAGCGAAACTTCCAAATAAGCCTAATGTAGTTTTCGCCATGCGTTGTCACAATCTTCTTCATGCCAACCGAGCATTAATTCATGTGACCATATTTTTTAAAATTGAGTAACTACTCTCAGGAACTATTGACTCGTTTTAAGAAGTAGCTAACTTTGTTCAGAAATCTAGACATATTTCCAAAAGGTTGTTTAGCTAACCTGGTTCAGGAACTATTGCCAGGTTTTAAAAATTTGTTGAACCAATGTACGAGATTAAAAAATGTTGAAGTGTTCACTAAAAATTGCTACTTCCATTCGTAAATATTGTTTTTAGATATAGATACGGCCTCAAATACACAATAAATCTTTGACAACCCTAATATGAAAACAACAAGAAGAAAACCAGATAATAATTCTGAAGAAGACATTCAACGGTACTATTTGGGCGGGAAAAATAAAGTTACAAGATTACTAATCGTAGTAAACATTTTCCATTACAAATTCATACTATTTGAATATGACCCATCCAAACATTTCTTAAATCAACAGGATTGGTCATATCATATCCTATACGAACCAATAATGGAGTATCTTGTAAAATGTTCACCAAATGGAGCCTTCCCAAAACCACTACCTGAAGTTTGAATGCCCTGCCCTGATGGGAATAAGTGAATAACCGGCCACTAGTCCACTACTTAAACTCACGGTGCTCAAGGAGGTCACATATCCTCTGACACTCATTCCTTATTGATTTGATTATCTCCTCTTTTATCTCCGATCTTTCTCTGGACGCAGCTGCCCAGCAGCGAAGCTTTCTCTGAATTCTTCCAGTATTGGCTTCACCCAACCACACATGATCGCACCAAACGCGAGAAAGGGGGCTGCGTTAGCTGCAGCCCGCGTGATGCTGTGCCAGCCCAGCTCGTTCAAGGGTGGTGCACTCAACAGGACCTGAAATGTGAAAAGGGTGTTGAAAATCAAACCAAATCAAGTGAAGCCGTAGATCTCAAGAGAGAATATCACCAATACAAGTAATATCAAAACAATTAATTAGTCACCACATTATGTATAAACCAGACAACTAGTAAACATGTCCATGCGATGCACCGGAACATAATCCTTGTTGCGCGGTCATTTGAACAACTTATGGTTCGGGGATTTAATAATGACCGCGTCACCTGTTCCAATACATATTGGAATTAGAGATATGAAGGCACGCCGAATAGGCGGCCTCCCAGAGTGTCCACGTACGTTCTATTTAGTTGGTGCGTTAGATAGAAATTCCACGACTAAGATGAAGCGCGTCACAACCGGCCTTCCTCCATGCATTCGGCAGTGGATAGATGAAGCAAGTGGAAGCATTCAATGAAGTAGATGAAAAATTGAATGACCATGCATGCAAGGACAATATAAATTGTGGTGAGTCGACCCATCTCATATAAAGGCAGCCTTCACTGTCGGGCTGGCTGAAAAATATCTGCCTCTCCACTCGCTTCTCCCTGGCTCCGCTCTCTACCTCACTGCTCCTCCCTCTCTCTCTTCTTTGCGGTGCGGGCATACGGATGGACGGATCCGGCGGAGGCTCTAGTGGGCGGCACAGCGGCCCCGGCGTGTGGCCTCACCTAGGGCGGGCCCCACATGGAGGTGGCGCGGCGGCGCAGGGCGAGCGCGCAGCGAGTGTGGTGGCGCAGCAGGGTGGGCCGAGCACGTAGCGCGGCGGCGCAGCGTCCCGGCATCATGGTCTCAGCAATGGCGGGCTCCCACGCGGAGGCGGAAGCGGCGTTGCTGCTGCGGTGCGCGGCGGGCGCCAAGCAGCTCGTGTCGGCATCGTCGCACCTGCTCTTCCGCGCCACCGTGCTCTCCACGCTCACGCTCGTCGTCCTCTTCGCCGTGCACTACCCGTCCCTGCTCTCCAACTCCTTTTGCCTCTCCGCGTTGCCCGCATCCGGCTCCTCCTCCTCTTCCTCCTCGCCGCGGTCTCGGCACTCGCACTGGAGCCTGCTAGGCTCGGGGACATCGTCGTCGTACGGGTGGGGGGGCGCGGTGTGAGCTGGAGGTGCAGCAGCAGCCGCTCTTGGCGGGATTCGGCGCTGTCCGTGTTTCATCACGGGCGCCCAGCCGAGCTTCGTGGCACGCGATCGCTTTTGGCGCTCCAGCGCTGCATTCGCGACGGCGTGTTTCGGCCTCGACAACTTCAACGCCTACTAAATTTGAACTGCAGGTACATGAAATAATGGAATTTCATCATTCAAAAAATAGTATTCATGATATTTAGGCTATGTTGAGGCCGTATGCAGGAAGTGGCATGAAATGTCGCGCATCATGTTGTCGTAACATGACGATGTACTCGCGGGGGAAGTTTATTTAAATTATATAAAATCCAAACGATGTCCGAAAATCACGAAACTTGTCGATGTGTCTTGTTATCACATGTGGAGGCCCTGGTTAAAAATTGAGAAAGTTTCGAGTAAGTTGCGACGTCGGCTGCCTAAAACCCAGACATCTCCACATGACAAAGGCGCATGACTAAAAAGGCCGGCCCGTCCCAACCCCAAAGAGACCGACCCGCTTGCTGTCCGCGCACAACACCGCCGCCGCCCTCGCGCTCCGCCCGGCTGCCATACCAGCCATTACGCGCCTCGCCAGCGCCACGCCTCGCCACGCCCGCGCCTCGCCCGATCGGCCGCGCCCGCGCCTCGGCTGCTCTGCCGCCCGATCCGGCGACCACTGCAGCGCCTGGCTGACCCCCACGCCAAACGCCCGCCCATGGCGCTGCCCGGCGGCGGCGGCGCCCACCGGATCCGGCGGCCCCACGGCGTGGCCCCCGCCCGACGACCAAGCGCTCGGCGCCTCGGCGGCTGGCTTCGCGGCTCTGCCTCAGCCCCGGCGCCCCAGCCTGCGCCGGCAAGGGCATGCCACGCTGCCCCACCTAGGCGGCCGTCCCCGACGAGGCCGGGCCGCCCATGGTCTCTGTCACGGGCTCCTCCTCCCCGCCACGGCCAATGAGAGAGAGGAGGTAGGTGGAAGAAGGAGGAGGAAGGAAGAATAAGAAAAAGGGGAGGAGGAAGAGGAAAAAGAGAAGGAGGAGGAAGAAGAGGAAGAAAGAGAAGGGGAGGAGGAAGAAGAGGAAGGTGCCACCCGACCGCCTGTCGATCCTCAAGGCCATGCTCGGACTGGCCGTTGATCCTCATGCACACCACAAGTCATCCCCACTGCCGTCGCTGCCCTCGCTCTTGCCGTTCTTGCCGCCAAGGTAAGCCCTACCCTTATAGTGTTAGTAGTAGTAGTAGTTAGTAGTGTTAGTAGTAGTTAGTTGTAGTGTTAGTAGTAGTAGTTAGTAGTTTTAGTTGTAGTGTTAGTTGTAGTAGTTAGTAGTGTTAGTTGTAGGGTTAGTAAATAGTAGTAGTTAGTAAGTAGTAGTGGTTAGTAGTAGTTGTTGTTAATAGTTAAGTAGTTCTTACTATTAGCATTGTTAGTAGTTAAGTAGTTGTTAGTAGTAGTGTTAGTAGTAGTTGTAGGGTTAGTAGTAATTGTTGTTGTACTACTTCAATACTTTCATGTGCATGGAAAGAGAACTAAAGTACATGGCTCCTCTTGATATATTGGTGGTTGTTGGCCTTCGTGTCCATGTTTGGTATATATGTGGTTGTTGGCCTTCGTGCCATGTTTGGTATATATGTGGTTGTTGGCCTTAGTGTCATGTTTTTTGCAGTGTTTTGGGAACCTCCTGTGCAGGGGGTGGTGCTTAAAATTTTGAGTCGACACTAACCATTTTTGCCCTTTTTGCGGGAGGACTCATGGGAGGGACTCAATGACCCCGATCGTCTTCTTCGTCGGCTGCTGGTCTTCCCCACACCGCGTCGACTCGCCACTACACCGACTCTCCACCGCCCCGCTACCCGGACCTCGCCGCCACCCTAGGTATAACCCCTCTATCCGTATGTGGTTTTTGGTCACGTAACCTAGTTAGGTGTCTCCGTTCGAAAGAGATACGGTCGGAGATATGCGGACCTTTGCATATCTCATGACCGTATCTATTTCGGATTGTCCACGCTTTTTGGACAGCCCACGAATGCGTAGTTGAGGTTAGTTTTCATGCTCCACTCCGGTTCGAGATTTGTGTTTCGGCATCACCTCTCCGTTGTTCTCCGGATACACACTCTCTTGCGCAGGCGTGTATCGGGAGAACGGCGGGAGGTGTCTTGCCAAATTCCGCCTCTTGAAAGGAGCGAGCATGGAAACTAACCTCATCTACGCATCCGCTGGTGGGATTAGGACCTATCCTCACCTATTAGAGAGTAGGGACACCGCGTAGATGCAATTGATGGTCACCGTGGTGATGTTATATATGCTAGAGGATGGAGGACCGTCGATTGGATGTACACGGGCCGGACAAGTCGTGGTGATGCCAGCTATGAATGGATGCGTAAGACCGATCGCTTTCTTGAATCGTGCATTTGGCAAGGCCGCAAAATTCCCAAAAATGGCTTTGTGTCCCCGCAACAAGTGTGGTAACAGGAGAATGCTAGACAAGGAACTCATGGGTACACATCTCACACAAGAATGGGTTTACGCCGAACTACACCCGGTGGGTCCACCATGGTGAAGCCGATCGTATGAGAGAGGAGGTGGTGAGACAACGCGTCGAGGCTTTCGATCTTGATCTTGGGGTAGCGTACATGGTAGATGACGCGTTCACCAAGCACGCTTCTTTCAAGGACGGAGGAGGCGGAGATGCAGCACCGTAGATGCGTTCAAGTACATGATGGACTCGCAAGACGAAAACCCCTTCACGCTCATTCCGAGGTCTCCCACCGGATGCCATAAGTCGCTTGATGGGGTTGAAGTCCGATTTAAACTGGAGTCGAGAAGGCTTCGATAAGGTGTTGGCCGTGGTTGGCACCCCGCTTCCAAAAACCACGTGTTGTCAAGACCATGTACGAGGCACACAAAGCTCCTTAAAGCACTAAAGATGCCATATGAGCAGATACATGCTTGTCCGAACGGGTGTGTCCTATTTCGGGAAGAACTCAAGGAGACAAAATCTTCGTCTGGTGTAAAGCCTCCGAGTGTTCCTAGAGGTAGAGTCTGGTGACAAGTGGTGGCGAAGACCCAACTTTAAGATACCCGCCCGAGTCCTCACACACTTCCCTTCGTGCCGAGGATTCAAAGGCTATTCATGACCGAGGAAACCGCGAAATGATGACGTGGCACAAGAATGGCAAACGCTACCATCCTGACAAGATGGTGCATCCATCGATGGTGAAGCATGGACCAGCTTTAATGACAAGCATCCTTTGAAATCCGATGAGGCTCGTAATGTACGTGTCGCGCTGGCAACAGATGGGTTCAATCCTTATGGCATGATGTCTGCCCCTTACACATGTTGGCCCGTGTTTGTTATCCCCCTCAATCTCCCCCCTAGCGTCGCCTTTCAACGACATAACGTGATCTTGACGTTGATAATTCCCGCACCTGTGGAGTAAGATGGGTGTGTTCATGGAGCCCGTGATTGATGAGTTGATCAAAGCTTGGAATGAAGGGGTATGGACATACGACCGAGCTACAAAGGAAAGCTTCAAAATGTACGTCTGTACCAATTACTCCATGCATGACTTCTGGCGTATGGGTTATTCAATACTGGTGTGTTCACGGAAGTTCCCGTGCCCAATATGCCGTGAAGTGTGAGGTTCATTTGGTTGAAGAAGGGTGGTAAGTATTCGCTGCTCGATCAACATCGTCAATTCCTAGATTCCAACCATCCATTCCGACAGGACACCAAGAACTTCAGAAAGGTGTCGCATGATCACGGACCCTAGACCGCACTTGAAGATTGGTGCCGAGGTTCATGCTCGGATAGATGCTCTCTTGCCCAATGAAGAAGGTGGTTTTGTGGGATATGGTGAGCAACACATGTGGACTCATAAGTCCCATTGACGAGGCTCCCCTATTTCGATGACCTTCTCATCTTTCTATAATATTGATGTAATGCACACTCAAAAAAGAATATCATTTGAGCACTTTGGGCAACACTCATGGACACCGACAAGTCTAAGGACAACCCTAAGGCTAGAGTGGACTGGCGGCGTTGTCAGCGATAGACCACAACAAGTGATGCGGCCTCCTACAAACGGCAAGAATGGAAAGGGCCTAAGGCCGATTTCATCTTGAAACCCGAACAAAGGAGGGAAGTACTACGATGGATCAAAGGCGTTAATGTTCCCCGATGGGTATGCAAACCGAACTGGCGGTGGGGGAGTGAACTTAGGCACTATGCGAGTCAACGGCATGAAGAGCCATGACTACCACGTATGGATTGAGCGGCTTCTTCCGGCGATGGTACGAGGCTATGTTCCGAGAGCATCTCCGGCTAGTCTTTGGCAGAGAGTTGAGCTATTTCTTCCGCCCACTTTGTGCCAAGGAGCTATCTCGGACCGTGGTTGCAAACTTGGAGAAAGTGGCACCTGAGTTGCTTTGTAAGTTGGAGAAGATATTTCCACCCGGCTTCTTCTTGTCGATGCAGCATTTGATTGTGCACCTCCCTTATGAGGCACGTATGGGGGGGCCTGTGCAGGCCCGTTGGTGCTACCCAATCGAGAGATGTCTGAAGGCCGTTCGCAAAAAATGTAGAAATAAAGCCAAAATTGAGGCTTCCATTGCAGAGGCTTCCATTCTGGAGGAGGTGACAAACTTCACACAGCTATACTACACGGAGAACCTTCCTAGCGCAGCATAATCCACTCCCTCGCTACAATGTTGACGAGAATGAATCCAACCTTAGCCTCTTCCAAGGGCAACTCGGCGGGTCAAGTGGATCGTCCAATAAGAGGTTGGAAAATGAAGAGTGGCGCATGATCATGCTATATGTGTTCCACAACCTACCCGAGGTGAAGTCGTTCATTGAGTAAGTTCTCAAAGAACTTGTTTAAATACGCTGTCACTATTCTGCATCCAACTGATTCTTTCTCGTTTGCACAGGGAATTTATTCGTGTATCCTGGCATCAACCAAGGGATCCTACCCCACGGCAAACCGACACCCTTCTTTCAC